TCAGCAGAACAACGGAGAAAACCCTGGCTAAGAAAAGGCTGCCGATACAAGGAAGTTGGTGGTTGCCGTGTAAGAGCGGTGTGGGGGCACGCACGTGCATCCAGTAACCTCAGGACACTGCGAGTATCAGTACTCCAGTTATGCCCCAGAACTGTTCACAGCCCATGTGTTTGTGTCATGTCAGCCGAACATCATATGATCCAATGAGGAAAATGTGTAAATTCCCACTTGATACTTTCTGATGGTGAGGACAATGGAAATAGCAAGTAAGCCGGTAAGAATTAAAACCCCGGGGAGCTTGTTAAGCAGTCAATGTCCTCAAGTTAGGTGCACAGTATGGTAGCTGGCTAGCAAGTCAGGTAGAGTGGTGGAGGCCTTTCAGGGGTTGACTCATGTTGGGATTCTGACTGTACTTTCTGCCAAAGGTGGAGCAGGTTGAAACTGGATGTGAGAGAGGGGTTTCAAATAACACAGAAGTCAAATGTGGAGCAGTAGCAAAGGCTTCCATTTTGAAACTGAAATAACTCCAAATCCTTCTCTTTCACTGAGGAGAGGACATGAACACCATGTCATTATTTTAGTTTACTGAGTTGCTGTTCCAAATGTTCTTGGGAGCATTAGTGCTAAAAGGGAACAGGGAATGGGAGCTCTGCCATTTCCAATCACATAAAGGACAGAAATCCTTTTAATTATGACCATGCCAATCTACATCTTGCTAAAACAGCTAATTACATGTCAGGAGGACACTCAGTCATTCAGAACAATTGTCATTATATTTTTATATATTCATTCTGTGCCACCCCCCTCAATTACCATGGTTACAATTTGAAAGGATTCAGGCAAACCTTCATTTGATCACAGCACACCAATGTGAATTTGAGAGTTAATTATGGATGTACAGAGCCACTTTCATTAAAAGAGAAAATGCAAATGGAGTTAAGGGAACGGCACCCTGAGATGTCTGAACTGGGAGCCGAGCTACGAGCACACGCCCTACTCAGGTCAGCGTCGGGCAGCCCTCGTGGACCACACACTCTCAACAACTGCCCCACGCCACTGCACCATGGGGCTCAGACACCCATGGGAGAGCACAGTACTGCTGTCCACATCAATCCCCAAACTTGCCAAGTAAAAAGGACATCAGGAGAGCAAGGCAAAGCCTCCTGCAGATGCATCCTTGTTTGCTGTTGGGGCGCTGCGCTGGCTAATGAGCTAATGGGCGTGGAATGTGGGTGGTTAGTAGTCAGTGGTGTAAAATGCTAGTTAGACTTCACTTGAATGGAACTGACTTGATTTAGTTCTGCTCACTGCTCGGCCCCAAGTGTCATGTGAAGCATGCTAAAGAAGAAGTCCAGTGATCTGCATATTTGTTACCCATGTCATCTATTACATCCTCAAGGTCCTTGGGTGATGGTAAGAACATGGTGTAAGATCTTTTGGTGCAGCCAGAGTTTCCCTCTCTTCTCCACCATATCTACTCCCCTCTTAATTACAAAGGAAAACTAATGTTACAGGAAATGGGATTTCTCAGATCGTTAGCTTTCTCTTTGCTGCTGCTTCTCATATCCACAAGAATAATGAAGCTGATGCAGAAACCTCACAGTTTATGAACTTCCAGCTTTTGAACGTCCATGGGTAGGAACAAAGTTGCACTTCAGAGTAAGCGAGTCAACCATCCTTTAAGTTGGCAAAAGCAGTAGCTTATCACTTTTAACTTATAAGTAAAGAGAATTAAGAACAGCTTTTCTGAACATAACCTGTTTGTGATAGGAGTTTCTGTAATCAGAAAAGGGACTTATAGGCTTGATGTATTTAAAAAGCCTTTCCCACCACCTCAGTAGGGTAGTTCTCCTGAGAGTGGTAAAGAAATCTTCCCTCTTAAGTGATAGTCCTCTTTTGAAAAGAAGAGCATATAATGGAGGAGACGGGGGAGCTGGAAAAGAAAGGGCCTCTGCCTTGACAACAGGCTACGGTCAGGGAAATCCTTATAGGATTACCTGGCCAGTCATAGTTGCCTCCCTGGGAAAACCTCGTGTTCTCATTATGGTGCAATACCTTCAAACTGGAAAACTTAGGTGTCATGAAGTAATGTAAATTAGACATTCCGGAAATTAAGAAACAGGAAGAGGGTTTTCAGGGCATGCAGCTCAGTTAGCCAAATGCAATATGGCTGACAACTGATCCCAGAATCCTGAGTAAACATCCTTGCTACTTAGCACACAAAAAGGAATGTTTCAAATGTGTAATTCCCACCCCTGCCCCAGTGCATCCCCCACCCCACCCCTGTGCCCCACACAGACGCCACCAGCAGAGCTGGTCAGTACGCCCAACTTTCACTTGGGAAATCTTGACAAACAAATCTGGCTCAGTAAAGCTATAAATGGATTTGGCTGGTCTCAAAGCCCCAATGAATACAGTAGTAAAACATTACTAATAATCACAACAACAAAATGACAAAATCTATCACCACTCTGACCGAAGAATTAAACACGGACCGAGATTAACACAGAAAACCAACGCACAATGTGAAGGGTCAGGACTATTCAGTGTAGAGTGCTACTGAGCACAAGATCATCAATAACAAGAAAAATTATTGCCTAAGAATCTGTTGAGACTCATTGGGGATAAAATACTCTGGTTGTTCTCTGTACAAGAAAAGACAAAAAGCAATTTTAAAAGGCAGAGCCACAAGTTAAATGGGAAGACTGCTTCTACCCAAACCCTTCTTAAGACCAAGAGAGTAAGGACTTGGAAGTTCACATTTTTAGGACAGGGGTGGGAGGACGTGTATGAAGAAGGGATTATTTCCACTGTTATGGGCAGAAATAATGCAGCTGGTCAGTGGAATTATGTAGCTGGTCAAAAAGATGGCCTGCAAGACAGGAAGGAGTGCTTGTGTGAAGAGATGGCCCACACCCACCTACTCTGCCTACCGTGGAAGATAAATCCCAGCAAAGATGTCAGCTCAAGATGAGGCCTTAGTACTGGAGACCAGAGGCAAATGGAAGAGGAGCTGTTCACAGAGGGAGACGAAGTGACTGGAGATTCCTGATGAAATGAGTCTATTTACACCTGGTGCCTGATGGTTGGAATCCAGGAGGGAAGTTTGTAAAGACAAGGCCAAACAGGGAGAACTGAAACAAGTGTATGAATGAGCTCTTCATGAGTTGTCCCCTTTGAGGTAAAAAATCTCTGTGGATGTCTGGCCCCAGCAGTAGTACTGCTGGTCACCAGACTGCCTGCCATCCTAAATCTACCAGGGACTGGGGTATTGGATTTGCACACTTCAGTAGTGATGAGCTGCTTCCTCACTCACATCTTTTTAGGTGGTCACCTCTACTGAGCTAGAGTGAAAGGTATCTTAAAGGGGTCTTCCTGTTCCAGGAACTTTCTTCCTGTTCCAGGAACTTTCTTCCTGTGAAGGAATAATAGGAGAATGTGGGGGGCGGGGCTGTCCCCCCCCAAAGACAGTGTGCGGGAACTGGACAGATTCCCTAGGTAGGTGGAAGGTGACCACACTTATCAACCCCACTTTAAAGGATTGAGACTGTGAAGAAAATCGCCCTAAGGGGTACTCAAAATTACACACTTTGCTGAAATAAACCTGAAATGAACCAAAATGTCTGGTTGGTACTGACTGGCACCAGAAGGTCTCAGCTAAGAGTATACTGTACTGCCTTCCCTGCCCTTCATCCTACATTAGGGTTATCAACAGCAAGGAAGAAATCCCACTAGGATGGTCCATCTTTCGAAGGTCCCTTTGTAAGGCTGTGTTGTAAGAGGAGCAGGAAGTTTACCCAATTTGACTACAGTAATTCAATCAAAGTGTCTTTAAAAAAGAAAAAGAAATAACAGAAAAGTTATAAGAACTGCTGACAAGGTTCCACATCCCCACCCTCAGTCTTCCTCACTAGGGACAAGCAGTCCTGAAACAGACTTCTGGGGCCTGAGGGAAGTACAGTATGGAGTAAGAAAGGAGGGACATAACAACCAAAAAGCACAGAACGTGATTTTTTTTAGAGCCTGGCTCTTTTCCCTTCAGTAGGAGAGCAGTTTAGGGTTTCTGTTTAAATACTACCAAACCTGAAAAAGCTTAAGAAAACAAATTCACTATCCAAAGATATTACAAATTAGACAGTGGCAACTCCATATGCCATTATAAGAACTAAGGTAGCCTGGACAAGACAGAATTCAACCTGGTGACAAAAAAACAAAAACCAAACAAACTCCAAAACAAAAAACAAACCAACAATGGTAGATTTAAATCTAGGCCCCAAAGAACTACATTTTTGCTCTTAGTGAAAAAGCAAAAGTTGTATGTAAGGCAGCAGGTCGTCTTAGGAGCAGGCCAGCAGTCTTCTTCAATTAAAAGAAGAATTCTGGATGAAAGATTCCTTCCTCCTGTTCCCACTGAACCCAATCCAGGCTATCCTGCACTGGTAGACATGTTCTCTCACTTTTTCCAGGTTGCCAGACAGGGCCCAGGGCTGCTTTCATAGATATGACTCTCCTTTATTCTCTGAAGCTTTTTCCTTTCTTAAGGCCTTAAAACAATGAAACCTTTTAGCTCTTCTCTGGCAATCAGTGTATTTCTTTAGAAACTGCAGCTGTCTTAACAGTTTGAGTCTGTTTCTTTAAAAAGACCAGCAAGAACAAATGATACTAGCAATCCCATCATAAAGAAGCTATCAATTATAATAATCTCCTTACAATAAATCATGGATGTGGCTTGTCAGACACTATAGTTTTCTCTCTTCTTTTCTTTCTGAGTCAACTGAGATTAAGCAGACAAAATTCCACCGAAATGGAAAGATACAATATATTTCTTCTATGTAATATAAAAGGAAAGAGAGATAACATAATCTCCTAACTGAAATAAAAAGTCAAACACACCAAGAAAGAAAATGAGCAGGGGGATCATTCCTGAGAATAACAAATGCTACTCTTGAATTTGTTGGTTCAAGTAATACAGTAAAACAGAAAAGACTACCCCATTTTACTTCAGTTCTTGGAAGCTGGAAGTATATACATTATCTGCCTGAAATCCACAAACAAGAGCAGGCCCAGTCCCTGCCCACGGCTCTTTAAAATCACAGACCCATATAAGGTGGCATCTTCGTGCCCTCTCGAAGGCTTCCGCACACTGGCCTAAGCAGGATGAACGGATACGGAGAAGACCTCGTCAGCATGTGCCTTAAGTGGAGTCAGACCAGCTAAAAACTGGTGGATATTTAATATCTCCCTAACAAGGAAGGGAAAAACAAAGAAGGTCAGTCTTTCTCTCAATGGTTTTAGGCTGAATACATTTGGTGGGGGAGGAGGGGTGAAGAGGTAAGGAAACGGCACCTTCCTTCCACCTTAGAAATCGTTCTCAGGTAATGGACGACAAGACAGAAGCCCTGTTTAATAGCCAGCCCCACATCCCCCTTTAAACAAGGCTCCACCATGCGTAGAAAGGAGATGGAATGAGGCAGAAAATATACAGCAGTCATGCCTCCTTCAGACGCACCCTACGCTGCTACATCGAAGGCGGTTTCCTCTTCCCCACAGTGACAGTGTGTCATTTAATCGGGATGCCAAGAGATCATTTTCATACAAGGCCAGCAGATGTAATTTTCTTTGATGCATGAATAGTTCATCATTTTGCTACTAGATGACAAGGTGATCACAGGGTGACTTTATAACGCAAGTTCACTGTTTGGTATTTTGAGTTCTCAAAATGAAAAAAAGATTTATCAAATATAAATATCTTTAAAAAGTAACAAAAGTGCTACATATGTGATCAAGGAAAAAAATTCCATTAGTTACTGCCGCTTAAAGTAGATTAAACTTTACAAATATTACCACATCCATTATCAATATGGCTTCCAATTATTAAATAAATTGCCTGTAGCAATATAGCTTTTCACACCTCTACAAGGACAGAGTAAAGAGAACACCAAAGCAGTCACATCACGTTGTATCTCGAAGACCCACCACATAAGTGGCAATTGTCCCCTGCTTTTTTCTGCTCCTATTTAGGAAAGTATTTGCATTTCTGATAGTCAGCCAGCATAATCCCACTCTAAAGTCCTCTATCAACCTCTCATATTGAGGGGGCTTCAGTTAATGGATACAAAGACTGGAAGTTCATTCACTCATTTGTGACCTTAGCTCCATCCTTGAAAGACTTTTTGGCAGCAGGGAAGGGGACACCAACAGGAGGCAGAGCAGCTTCCACGATGCCTCCAGCACTTTTCCGGGCAGGCACATACCTGTGCCACGCAATGTACAGCGGTTCTGAGAACTGGACTTAACATCCGTTAGACATTCAGCTCATGTTTTTTTCCAATGCTCTCAAGCTGGGTTGTTTTTTGTTTTTTTTTTACTGACTTTTGTTTTTTGTCTTTTTGTTTGTTTGAATCATGGTCCCAAAGGCAGAAGGCAGTATTTTATCTACTAAGTCACACAGCTTGTGAGAGGAAAGGATGTCTGTGTCAGGCATGTTAACATCAACCAAAATCTGAGATCAAGTTTTTCCATGCACATTCTTAGCACAGCACCCAAAGAAGTATAATCTAGCCACAGTGTGACTATTACGAGGCACGGCTTATTGCAGCTGGAAATCAATGATTCCCACGCTGAGTGGGAATTCTAGTGTTCCTTTTACTCTGCGGATACTCCCCAAATGGTGTCTGTCAATCCTGGGCCACACTACCTCAGCTTGCATCCTATCAGTCTTGGGGAAGGAAAAGGGTACAGACTAGTGTTACAGGAATCTAAAGGTACCCAAGGTTTTACATGTAGCCTAATATTGGAGAACTGAGGGCTATCTAAATACCTGGAAGCACTTTCGTGGAATGCTAAGACAGAGCAGCAAGATTTTCTAGCCTCGGGGGCTGGGAGAGGGAGTTTGGTTGGTTGGTTGGTTATTATTTACTGGGAATTAATACTGAGAGAGTATATGCAAAGGCTGAGGGCACCATGCCATCTTCACAGAACAAGACCCTAACGGCTAACTGACATACAAGAAACTGCAAGTTATACTGTAAGAACACATGTTAAGGACCGAGGAAAGTCTGCTAAGGTGCTACGTCTAAACTAAGTTAACTTCTCCTGTTCAACCCTCCCTGATCAGTCGTCATCCAGGGCCTCTGTCTTGATTTCGTTGGCTCCTTGTCGGGCCAATGCCAAGATAGTATGGTTGACTGCTGCCATTTCCACAGCTAATGAGATGGGGTCTTGGTGGTCACTATGGCTAGTGCTGTCATCCTAGATGTGCAGAAATAAGAAACAAATGTTATTAGTGGATTGGCAAAATTCTCCAACTCACAGAAAGGCATGCTGAGGGCAAGGCGAGGCAGAACATTCGTGGGAGGAAACAGTGGGGGAGGGGCTCATGACACAGTAGAGGTGAAATGTATTTAAGTAGACACTGAATGGAAATAGGTCAGGACTTCCAATTGACATTTTTATGATTCAACAAATAAAAAGCACCAAAATGTTTTTTTCTTGCTGAGAATTTTATTCCTTCTATCGGAAAGACTGCTGGTGATGCTAGTCAAATCTGATCATTCTAGTTTGCAACAAACGTAGCACTAATCACTGAAGGCCAAACTAGTGAGCTATTAAATTCTGGACTGGTACTCTTACAAACAGATTATCAGACCTCATCGTATCTCTCTGCTGAACTGAGAAAACTCAACTACAGACACCAACATCTAATGGGTAAAAATGCGCTTTTATAAAAGAACAAAAACCCAAAACCTCTCAATTACAACAGGACAAAAGTATACCAGCTGGAAATGGCTACGGGAGACCATGGGTGGTGCTCTCCTGCTGTCAGGCTGCTGTGCCAGGGAAGCGGCAGGTGTCGTACTTAGGGCGAGTGTGAAGCTCTCCTTCCGTGCACAGCTCAATGTGTTAAACAATAAAGCTGTGAAGGAAACTGGCATTGCAGCGTGTTTGTCAGGCACTGAAGATGGTGTTACAAATAAGGGGTAAGTTCCTCACCTGTCACACCTTCAGGGGAACTCTGCATCAGAAAGCTTTGGAAAGGATAAGCCCCTTTGGAAAAAAAATCATGGGATGTGCTGCCCTTAGGGCATGTGGAAAAAATGGTGGAAATGATTCACCTACATTGGTAGACTGAAAAATAACAGGAATATTTTTGATTAGAAAGACAGAATATTTGCTTGAATAAAATGTGGAGCTATGATTTGGAGTCCTAAAAAGAGAAAAGGTAATCCCTGGGAACTATGGGCATCACTGTTTCAGTCCCATTTTCACAGACTGGTCTTTAGAGTTGAAAAGGGGGTTGTGTGCACTCCTGCACACAACCTGTCTGCACTCAAGCTGGTAACCAGAGGCTGTAAAGTGGTTGGCAGAGGGAAGAACAGAGCGGACTATATTTAAGAGCTGGCTGAGGGGCCACGAAGAGGTGTATATACACCATAGGAAAGAACAAAAGTTTCCCTGCTAGGGTCCAGAAGAGAGCATACGTTCTTTTCATATTCCAAACAGAAATGAATTTTAAATCCTATGACAATTTTAATGAAATCTGTCAAGAGATATGTGGGGGGAAAACTCCCACGTTCTTAGTGACTGAATTATTCCATCCAGTGGCTACAATTAAATATATTTCCCCCCCCAAGCAATGAATACTAGGTCAGGGTGACGTGAGAAGACATGCATTTATGACAAGATGTGTGTGTCAATGTGCCAGAGACTCTGGAAGAACCACTCATCTGGGCATGAGGGTTCTCACTGCAATGGGGCCGTGGTGGGTGGGACCTTCTACTGTGTGCTGCGTTGGTACATGTTTAGGCATGGATTACAGCTACCCAGTAGCCCCTAGTATTTCTCAAACATTGAGTGTGTGTGTGGTGGATGGTGTAACTTGCTTGTTTGGATCAGATCCTCCTCTCTTCTTCTACCTTCTCTGCTTCTCTGCCTCCCTCTGAACTTCTTCCCTCCTCCTCCTCCCCATTGCGTACTTGCCAAGTATCCTGTTGTATGACAATAAATCCATGTGGGTGAATAACAGTTTCTCACAAATTTAACAGGACAACTGAATCTTACCACATTCCTTTCAAATTACATGAAAATCTAACTACACGCATGAGCAGAGTGGAGGGACACTGGATTGTCTCCTCTCTCCCACCCCGTACAAAACGCACCCACAGAATTGACTTGTCATACTGTCCCACCCGCTCTGTAACCAAGAACCTCTGCTCTCAGCTGCTCACCTGCTCTGAGTAGTCATTTCCGTCAACATCATCACTGTTGGAATGGCCTCCTGGACTCTGTACATCTATCCCATGACTCTCCAGGATTGCTGCTTCTTCGAAAAAAGCAAATAGATCCCTAAATTATCTGTTACATTATTGTAATCGCTTGAACACGGAATTAATTTTTGTGCTAAGGAAACTAGGGTGTAATTAAACCAGAACCTAGATTCCTGTATGTTTTCTTTTAAATTGTAGACGGACAAAATTAAACTGCACACAGGCCAGGGGAGGAACACATCTGTCATTCTGGAGCCCCTGCTGCTATGCGAGCCACGTGTGAGTGGTTGACTGTTGGGTGCTTCATAAATACTTACCAACTAATTAAACAGCCCTCCTGTCTCAGGGTTCTATAAAGTGTTTGAGAATTGTATTGATGGAGAGGTAGGGAGTTAAGTTTAGAAATGAAATACAATTTTAGAAGCTCAAAACCAATCTCCCACTCCAATTTCATCAGTTCGTATTTCTTAAATGCTCTTTTTAAAAATCTGTGTTTTGCTGTGTTCCCTATTAAGACTCTTTCATTCCAATTCTATTAAGCACATGTTTCTTAATATCTAAGTCACGGTCCAGTAATAACAAAGAAGCTCAGGGTCTCATTCCCTCGCTCAAGACCTTAGCAAGTAGCTTTAATATGCAGCACAGGAATCATGCAGTCAGGGGCCATATCTAATTCTAGACTCTAGAATATTAAGAACAATGCCATTATTAATATAATACAAATAATGCTAATAATACTAACTCTTAAAAACACAAAGAAAAACATAAGGACAATTCTTGTTAGGCTTAAAAGTTAGCATCATTAAGACCTGCACTTCTAAACTGAAGGTGCTCTCAAAGTAAATACAACGTCCATGACTGCTTCAAAAGGGAAAGCAGCCTCTCTGATACATTACCAATATTGGCTCTCCTCTTGATCTCCTTCCGTCTGTTAGCAAACCAATTATATACTTTCAGGGAGGTAACTCGTTCCAGATCAGACAGTTTTTTGCCTGTGAATACATGCAATAAAATTCAGATAGTCTGTAGCTGAGACTAGTTTTAAGGAATAATGCTTTCTTTTTGAAAAGTTCTTTTGATTGCATTTATTGCCAGAATAACAGATACAGGTTTTGTTGTTTTTTAGTATTCTGTATACACTTAAACTATTATTAAATGAATGAAAACTAATACAAAAATAGCAACCAAGAACATAAAATATTTCAGAAAGCCACATAACACTAAAGAATTCCAATACTAAATACAAAATTAATGAATTCCACAAAGTCAGGCTGCCAGGGTTCAAAAGTCATAGGATAGTCCATGGAGGCTTCATTTAATTAGCATCATTGTAGATGAGTATGTCAGTCTTCATCAAGTTTTCAGGTAGCTCGAGTTTACTTACATCTTTAAGGTCGTATATAAATTGTTTCCTGCTATCTTCAGACAGCAGGGAACAATTATTACCCATGTTTTCTTGAAGACTAGAGGTCACTCTGACCATCCATTATTGGAACTATGCTAGAACGCATAGCCCAATTCAGGTTGCATTTTAGATTTATTAGCTTCTTTGCTGTCAAATGTGACTTCTTACAGATTAGCACCATGCTGGCCAACAAGGGCCCATATGCACCTTTCCCTCCTCCACTGGTCTTTTCTGTTTTAGCTTTTAATCCACAGTGGGTGGAGAAGGCAGAAAACAGGTTAAAGCACTGATGATACAGGGTGAAGTGTTTTCCAGGAAGCTTCTGAGCTCCTGCTCTCCTCATGGGTGGGACTTTGGCTGGTGTGAAGTAAGGGTATAGGTGGGGTCACTGGAGGTGTGTCTGTAGGGTCTAGACTGCTAGAAGTCTGGCTTCTGGGTAAGGGAGAATAAATAACATTTTAATTATGATAAAACATTGATACTTTTGTACAGATAGCCTTTAAGCCAATCAAATTAACCAGCCAAATGAAGATCAACTGATCATCTTAACTGAGAATGATTTCTGGTAACAAAAACTGTGAAATGTGGAATAATATTTTAACACATGGAAGAAAAGTCATATGTGTGTTTAAGTGGCTCGGCTGACTTGCATGAGAACAATACAACTTCAGAATGGAAGCACCCTTAATTTTTCCTAGCTATATGCAGAAGTCACAACGTGGGAAGGAGAAAGAAGCCAACTCCAATAAGAATTCTTTCTTCAAAAAGGAATACAGAGTTATAAAACACTTGTTAAAAAAAATCTAAATCTTTTCATTTACAAGCCTTACTTAAATATTCCAAACTTTAAAATTATTTTGGAATTGACACAGTTATGCTATATTTATGGAGAAAGAAATCTATACAGTCTATATAATTTCGAGGTCTCTCATATCTTAAGCAGGGACACTCCCTGGAAACTTTCCATGTGCACATCTGATCTGGAGTACTGGAACTGCAATCCCTAAGAAGTACTGCTTGAACAGGACAGGGCAGTGACTAGACAGGAAGGTGGTGAGGACAGAGCGAATGGCACCCAGGTGGAATGAGTAAAAGAAGATTCCTTGTCCCAAATGATGATCTGAAGCCGAGAGCTCCACCATGGAGGAAAGTGGCAGCTTGCTGCCTTACCTGGCTTCTGTATAACTGCATTGCAAGCATTGGCAATTTCTTCTCTCTTAGCTTCATCTGGGTATTGATTCTCATTGAAGTAACTGCAGGGGCAACCAATTAAGACACAAAGTTTGTACTTTAAAAAATGTGCTCTCATTAAAAGACTAACCCACTGAAAAATACGTTCTTTATGATGTAACATTATGTGTCTAGTCCAGGGTGTCCAATGGAATTCTCTGTGAGGATGGAAATGGTCTGGCCTTTACTATCCGAAAGGGGAGCCACTACTCACATGTGGCTGCTGAGCAGCTGAAAGGAGGCTGATGTGACTGAGGAAGTGAATTTTTGATTTAATTTTAGCAAATTTAAATTTAAATCGCTAAATGTGACTAGTGGCTACTATATTAGTGCAGGCCTAGTTACTGCTTTGCTTCACCAAAAGCTGTCCTTGATATAAAAGTTGTTTGTGATACACATGCGGGTGGTTGAAATCATGGAGTTCTGTTACTGAGGCACTGGTAACAGCAGGACTTTTGTGTGTGTGTCATATTTTGTAGTGGCAAAAATTTTAAATGACCAAATTGTGCATCAATGGGAGAATGGCAGAACAAATTATGGGACATCTACATTTATACACAGCTATTTAAAAATGACTAGGAGGGGCACCTGGGTGGCTCAGTCGTTAAGCGTCTGCCTTCGGCTCGGGTCATGATCCCGGGGTCCTGGGATCAAGCCCCGCATTGGGCTCCCTGCTCAGAGGGAAGCCTGCTTCTCCCTCTCCCACTCCCCCTGCTTGTGTTCCCTCTCTCATTGTGTCTCTCTCTAATAAATAAATAATTTAAAAATAAAGAAAAAATAAAATAAAAATGACCAGGAAAAAAGAAGCTAGAGCTCTCTCCATTGACCTGGAGGGATGTTTACAACATTCCTAAGTAAGAAAAACAATCTGCAGAATGATGTGCATGGAAAATACCATTATGAAATCTGAAAAATTCCTATGTGTACATAAATTTGCATGGATAAAAGCTGGAAGAGTACACATCAGGCTGTAAAAATCAATTACTTTGATGTGGGGAAAGGGGATTAGTGGGAGGAGATGTAAATGTTTTTGCTTTTTTCCATATGTTAAAAAAAAAAAGCACATATTCTATACAATAGACTTACAAGAAATTAGGTTTACAGAACTCCTCCTTAGCATTACCAGACCTGTGAGACTCTATGTGGGAAGAGAATGTTTATTAGGGCTACTTTTTCTGTCAACTATGATTTTAAGACAAGAAAAAGGATCTTCATGTTATGATCAGGAAATGACCCCTTGTCAGGTTCTATACCCTCTCAGCTTCCATTCCCTTAAAATGCAGCTTTTCCTTTCCCTCACCCTCTGGTCTGCGATGGTAGAAATGCCATTCTATCAGGAATAAACAACTAGAGGCTGCAAACCCTTCTTGTGAAACCCCAAACCCCCACTCCTGATGCCACCACCCCCGCCCCCACTGACCCACCGCCACCATCTCCATGGAGCACATCCTTTGACACCGCAGCTGCCATCCCTGGAAAGCCTTTCCTTTGCTAAAACATTAAGTCCTAGAACTACATCATACCAGGCTTGTCAACTACCATCCTCCACAGTGGTCTCCTGCTTGATTCCACGATTTAAGCAGCTCTTCCTATATGATTTTCTGTCATCATTTTTAGGGCTCTGGTGTCACATTGAGGATCTTTCCAACGGACTGTCCCCATAACTGCTCCACTTCCACATTCCTACTGACCTTTACTCCACCTGTGCTATTTACTTGGGCAATTAGTTTCACGAGCCTGAAGCACTGGCATCAAGTGGAGGCTTGTTAGAAAGGTAGAATCCCAGACCCCACCTCAGACTGAATCAGAATCTGAACTTTACAAGATTTCCAGGTGATCTGAATGCACATTAATGTTGGAGAAGCACTGGATTAGCTCATTTAAAGTTCAACAAAGACAACAAAAGTAGATATTAAGTACCTAACACTGTAGGCTTGCACTGTGGGTAAAGAGAATTAGATAGCTTCTGACATCAAGGAGTTTACAATCTACTGGAGACAGACATATAAATCAATATGCTTGTGGTAAAATTCCGTAAGATGTCTGAAGAGAGTACTGCTGGAGCACAGATGAAAGTGTGCTCAGCGTTGTTTGCAGGGACCCAGAAGGAAGTGGCAGAGGAAGTGCCATCTTGAGTTAGGTCTTGAAGATGGGCAGGAGTTTGCAAGGCGAAGAAGAGGAGGAAGAGCATTTCACGCAAGCGGAACAGCATGTGCAAAAGCCAAAGGTAGATAAAAGCCCTGAGGATTCTGGCCACAGAGAAGAATCCAGAGTGGTTAGAATATGGGGTTCACAGGAAGAAATGAGGAGATATTAGCCTGGAAAAGCAGGATGAGGCCAGCTTGTGAAGAGCCTTGTCTGTTCTTGTCAGTAGTAAAGACGTCATCTTGAAACAGAGGTTTTCAAGCCACATAGAGATAGATACACACCCATCTGTGTTTTAGAAAGATCACACATCTTCAGGACTCAACCTTCTGAATTCTACCTCCATGATTTTAATTCTGACATCCCCCCAATCAACTTTCTCCTTACTCCTCCTCTTCAGAATAATTTTTCCTTCACCTTCTTTATAATCTCGAATCCCTTTAAAACGCTCCCCCCAACAACTTAAACATCTGTTTATCTATTCTTCCCGGCCTCACCTTTCATTTCTTAGCCTGAACTTCATGGCGAGCCAGATCAACAATATCCCTTAGGAGAAACTTATTTTGCTTCTCTGTCCTTCCACCATACCTGTCCAGCCAATCTCCTACCCTGCAGAAAGCACCTTCCACATGTTCTCTTCCATCCTTCTCTCCAAGTGTTCCTGGACAAAGTCATAAAATAGGGCCAATTGGTTTCTTTATAAATCTGTGGGTTTCAACCTTAATTGGGCCCCTCATTTTGGATGGGAACTCTTTCTGTCCTTTCTAACTTTTTAATACTCCATCTTTAATGCCCCACTTACCTGAAGCCTTTTCACTCTTAGGTCCCAAGCCTTCAAACGCACCAGTCATTCTTTTTACAAATGACCTTGCCTCCTCTTTTACCAAGAGGGAGGTTATTTAACGTAAGTTTGTGTGATGTTTTTAGCTTCTCAGCCTCTCAACTTGAGTCACTGCTCATTCATTTCTTCATTTCCTGGTGGAGGAAGATGCACTCTCCTCTTTAAGGTCTACTTCTCCACTTGTATCTCTGATCTCATCCTCCCTCCTTTCTCAGCTCTCTCCTATCTTTCTTGCATACCCCATCTTTTCCCTGTACCTATATAATTACGCTATTTCACCGATTTTGTGATGTACATTTCTTTATTATTATAATCCCTAAAATCAAGATGTATCTTATAATTGGTGGTCTCTGAAAATTAACTGGCAGTGGTTTTTTTTGTCCCCCGTCACTAGTACATAAAATCAAGGTGTGCTTATAATCAAGGCCTTTTCAGATCTGATGGAACATGGGTGTTGTTAAGACCTACAGGTCCTATTTCAGCAGCAGCTCTAGGACCACTATACCTCATTATAGCAATTGTTCTTCCAACTTACTGCAAAGCCAGTGACTGACCCCCCATCCACCCCCTCTAATGTCTGCTTAATATTCCTAGTGCACATCTCTAGTCATGGGCACTATTCTGTTAAAATTTTTTAAAAGTATATTATAGAGGTGTTCAGAGTTCTCCCCTAAAGTACCTTTGCTTCTTTATCTGCTGTTACTATCATATATGCATGCTACAGTCTAGGAAAATGGAATAACCTTGTAAACTCCTGGTATCTCTGTGCCTTTCTCTTGCCAGTATATCTGCTTTTTGCCTCCCCCCAACCTAAATCTTGTCTTTCAGGATATATGTTGAGTTATCAGCTCTTGGCCAGTCAAAGGTAAATATCACCCCATGAATCCCATAGCACTCCATCTGTTCCTCCCTCACATTTTTTTCATCTTGAATTATAGTTATCACTGTATACATCTCTCCTCCACTATGCCAAAAGCCACTTGAGGTACAAGTCTGATTCATTCTTATATGCACTCCCTGCTGATGGCAGTGCTGACAAGTCAATAATGATGAACAAAATCCCCACCAACCCAGTGTAGGGGTCCCCACCAACCCAGTGTAGGGGTATTTGCAATACCACTGCAAATGAACTGCTGCAAGTCGGGGATATATAGAAGGTCTCAAAAGATACATACTAAAGAAATGATTATCTCTTGAGAGCAAGAATACTGGGGCTGGATGGAAGACAGGAAAGTATTGGTGGTAATTAAGATTGGTTTTCACATTCTGTTTTATATACTTCTCTGTTCAGTTTTTGAAATGAACATATGCTATTTTTTATAAATTTTTAACAAAAGAACTTTGGGAAAACACTGAAAAAATTAAACACCAGTTTAATGATTAATACTCCATAAACAATTTATGTTGGTAAAGTGTATTTGGATCTGCTAGAAAATATTAGGATTGTGACTGTTATTCTAATGATTAGTAGGATAAAGCCACAGTATTTTTGGAAGCTAAGTTAGAATTTGCAGTTATTCATGGTATATATGACTTAATGAGTTAAAAAGTCTTAAAAGATCAATTTTACTGTGTATTTTTAGGATCTAATTATATAAAATAAAGATGATCAGAGTAAAAATAAATCAGTATCTTCTTCCAAATCAAAGAATCTAAGAATTCACTATAGTTTTATATTTCTAAGCCTTACAATTAGTCCTTTCTTCTCTGTTAAGGTCCTATTATTTTTATAATTAAGAAATGTAGGCCTATTCAAAATGTAAATTTTCAGCAAAATGTACTACTACAGCTGGAGCTGTGTACGCCCAGCTGAGTACCACTTTCATCTTTTTGTCTTTCCGTAGTGATTCAATGTTTGAAAAATATGAATTCAAGAGAGACAGTATAATCTAAACTGATAAAATAATATAAAGATGCCCCATGGTAAATATATAAGCTTAAGATGTAATAAAAATATTCACTGCAAAGCTCTTAAAGCCTCCCCCTGCCCCAAGTGGGAACAGACACACAATACCAACATAAAGTGGAAGAGTTTTT